GTTTATCAAAATCAAATGGGCATTTTGTAGCAAAAGAACATGGTCCAAACCTTGGCTTTGAAAAACAACAGAGGCATTTTGTAAGGAAAGTGTGTGCCTCAATGAAGGGTTTTGCAAAAAAAGGCATTTCTTAGGGACAGAATATGACAGCATTTTGTAGCTAAGGCCATTTGGGAAAAACATGGAGCTCGACAACCTCATTCTATAGCCCCAAGCTTGTGAATAATTTTTGTAACTTACAGAGTTAGGGTCACAACGTCTCCCTGGGGAATTCTATATTGATGTTATTTTTGTTGGTATGTTATGTTGGCATATAGTTGGGGGTTTCACAGCAGCTCATCAGCACCGACCCCAGAAGGTGAAACATGTCAAAACTTTTGCGCACTTCTGAAAGTTGGGTCGACGACTGAATTCCAATATTTCAACTATAACTATTGGAATACTATATATAATACTATATAGATATTAATACTATATAGATCATTTTGAATCCTATCTATTCCATATGGGGAATTTGGATCTTAAAACTCAGACGTTTGACCCAAACACAAGAGTTCTCCTGATTTCTCGTCATTGCTCGTTTGTTAATCACCAGGAGCGTTCCATTCCCCGGCAGATTCCCCCGCTTGAGCTACGTGACCCAGAGGATACAGAGGATACCTTCTACCTTGATGATCAGTGGGTTCCACTGACTGATTGACATCAGTAGCAAACAGATTAGCTGTGCTGTGCTATTCTTTCAAATGGTTGCTTATTGACATGCAAAAACCTTGGGTTAAGAATGAACTCCAAAGCTCTTGGTTACCAAGGATGGCTACAACTGGTTGGTTTCTAGTAGGTTTCCCAAAAAATGGGGATGTCTTACTGTGAGGATCTGATCACCCCCTGAGGTTCACCATGTTCTACGGAGCTGTTGCTATCTACTTTTTTTGCAGGAAAATCTCGGCAACGCAAAAGTTCATCCCAAAATGGTCAAATTTTCCAGTATCTACAGTGCCCTTGTATACTTTGCCCGCATGTTTGCTGGACCAACTGTCATCCTAAGCAAACCAATAGTAGATCAGTAGGTAATCAGTCATATGTCAGCATTTGTTCAGCATGCGAGTCCAATGATTTGATCAGCGCTGTGCTATGTGTTTTGCAATCTAGTGTTGCAGATCGCATTGGAATGGCTGCATCATAAACAAAACTGACACGGTTGCCTGGATATGAAAAGGAGAGGGAGGCCGTACTGAGTGCGAATAAGTCAACACAAGTGGCCAGGCGACTTGTGTTCTACCAGCAGCTTGTAAGTGAAGAGCTCATCCGCCTAGAGAGGCCACCATTCTGGGCAAACCGTATGCCGAACCGATTCGATTTCGCATCCTGCGCCTGAGGACGACGTTCAACGAGATGCACGTGGCCTCAGCTAAAATCCGGGCTCTCGGGTGGTAAGCCTGACAGGACGGAGATAGGCCAATACCTGCCAACTACCCACACGATTTGTGAGCAACAACACTTGGGGTTTAAATTTGTTTAATGTGGGGTTGGGCCAAGCCCTATGGGACCATTGGTTGAGGAGGCAAAAACATCTCTATAGCAACTTTTGAATGCAAACTGAAAGGCACTAGGGCGCAAGCACTCACCCGGATACAGCTTTGCTGCTGATGACGCGTCTTCTCCATCAAGTGGATATCACCATCCATGCCAGGGAACTTCTGAGGGACCGTCGGCGAAGTAACAAGTATGCTGAGACACTCCAAAGAAGGGAAACCTAGTATGCACCAGCCACTGTACGTACAATGCTTGCGGTGGCTTTAGAAAATCATGGGGGCACCTGCTGTAAATCATTTTGAATCTAGGTTTCTTTAGCCGCCACTGCTGAGGTTTCTATTCAATGCAGCGGTGATGGGGTTCAGTTCCAGTGACTTGGTGTGATGGTGATTCAGATTATTTGATGGGTCAGGATCGTTATTGCTTGGTTCTTGAAGTGACATCAAAAAAAATGCCCTGAAATCACGCCATTTGAATTTTCCGGCATTGAAAAAAACTTCAAAACCCAGTGTTTGCGGTTCGACTTTGGGTTTCAAAGAAACGTATGGGTTTGCAAGGCCCACCGTACCTCAAAATGATAGGTCATTTTTGGTCCCCATTTCAATGGGTGGAGATTTGTGGCCCATCTGTTTCTTTCAAAATTTGGTGTTGGTCAAACCCTCCTGTTTGTTGGATCAATCCCCAAAAGTTGTTGGACTTTGTACAAGTCCAAGTTTTTTTGGTTGTGGTGGAATAATTTTGATTCATGCATCATTTTTGCTGGTCAGATGCCCAAACATCACCAATTTTTGTTGCGCCTTCAGTCGTTTGTTTGTTTCCCAGGTGTTTGGATGCAGCTGGTGCTCGAACAGTTCGGTGCCATCGTGAACAATGTAGCTCAAAAGAAACACCATGGCGTCACTGGGGAGGGATCGAAATTTAGGGCCCATCTATCAGGGTAAATTATAGTGACCTCACTGGAATCATGTTGAATGTATAGAGGAATTATCCCCAAATGGCCGCAAAATTCAGTTCAGTGAAATCTTATATTTTGCCCAGATTCATGTTTCAGTATAAGGCATCTAGGTTTGATGATGTTTCGTCCTAACCATCAAAATTTAAGTTTAACCATCTTGTTGCGAAGTGCTGGTGGGTGGTGGCATTAGCTAGGAAACACCAAAATGTTAAGGTAATTTGTGTTTTTCCCCGGTGTTTTGTAAGTCCATGTTCCTGTGGTCATCTCATGCGATGCTGCTTTTGGTAGCTGCCTAGAAAAGTCCATTAGAGCCGACCCCTTGAAATGAAGAGAAAACAAAACTCAGTGGCCTAAATGGCACAAAGAACGCATGTTTGTTGAATTTCTATTACGTATTTAGGATGGTTGTAGGTCTCCAATTCATGTTGGATAGTTGATAGATACAAGTATTATTACAATGTTATCCCAACATTATCTCCAGGTTAATATCCACAGTATCAGTTTCAGATACTTAAAACAATGCCTGCTAAGGCCGCCAACTCCTATCGTCTGCAGGAAGAGTGCGATATCATGGTGGGAAGCTGAGGAGTTTTGTAAAAACGTGCCAAATGGGTCCAAAGGTTTCTGTTGCACACTCTAATGTTTTGTTTAATCCTCCAAAGATGATACAAAATATCTCAAAATATGTTAAATGATTATTTCCCGAAGTTATATGAAATTAAGTGGATATGTTGGCCTGGAAAGCTGGGATTTACCTCCTGATCATATCGCATTGGGGGATAGAATATATCGATTATTCGATGTTTTGAAGACTAAAGTCATATACTTTGGCAAGACAGATTTGTTTGCAGCCATGTTTGTTCATCAGTTCAATAACTTGAGTGGAGAGGCAACAAACGTTGGGGATGTATGAATTTAATAAGCAACAAAAGCAGAGAGATGAGTCAGTAACTCATTGTGCGACGGTTCTCGGACAACCAGCTGACATCTCGAACCAACCAAATATTTATATTAAAATATAGTCATATTATACATACAACATGATATGTTACCTAATCTATATACGTGTTTTATACGAAATTATTCCCCACACTGAGAATTGAAAAAAAAAAAAACAACTGCCCACCCACCAGCCCACTGCCGGTAGCTATGGAAAATCACATCTTTGAATATTTTTGCTAGATACATTTATTTCTATGGGCCATTTTCCATATGTTATATAAAAAATCAGATGGTATATCATATTATATCCATATATCCCCAAGATGGTTATCATGTGTTATCCATATATCCAGATATATCCAGATGTCATATGTTATCATGTGATTTCCGTATTTATATTCCTATGAAATAAAATATCTCCATGATATCCCCAAGAAAATCCCAATAGAAATTGCTGAGGCCTTGAGGTTGGCGAAGCCACTGGGCGCGCTCTTTCGAGCCATGGGGATGGTTGAACAAGTTGAAGACCTAATCGCGTTTTGAGATGTAGAAAATCTACTAAAAATAGTATCCCAATAGTAGCTACTAAAACAACTAACAGATCCCAATAGTATCCCAATAGTATCCCAATAGTATCCCAATAATATTGGGTTAGTAGTATACAACTAATAGATCCCAATAGTTTCTACTAAAAATCTACTCAAAACATCTACTACAGACATATTATGTCTGGGATATATAACAATATCCAGTTTGCGACATATGGGATCATCTATATCCCAAACACAATGAGTATATGTTTTTTTCGATATCAAGCTCATTTCAACTGTCTATTTCGTGGGAGATCACTATAGCTGGATAACCTAATGTAGGTTGTTTGAAAAAAGATAAACTTACCACACTATCATTTATTTTTGAGTCATTTCTATTGTATGTTGAAATGGATGAGGTAGGTATTGCAATCAGATACCAAAGGCTGCCAGAAACATATGTAATTTGTTGAGGGCTCGACGGTTTTAACCGGGTGATACTCTCCAACAAAAGAACATGACCTGGTTGTATGATACACTATGGGGATATCAGAATATGGGAATAGTAAATACTATATAATATAAGCATAGAACTGATATGACTCCTGAAATCGGGAATATTCACCAAGTTGGTGAGTAAATAGTGATTGGTGTTGCCATTCTGCTTGGTCAATGTACTATCTTTTCGCTGGGTAGCATAAGGATAGCCATGCTATGCCATGTTTTTACGAGGATAAGATAATAGATACGGCCATGGCGATAGAAAGAATTTGCTGTTCTGCGGTTTGCTGAAGAAGTGAGGACACCTAAGTTATTACGAACCGCAATTCAACACCTTACTGGTTCTAAGGTGTTGGGCTGTTGCGAGTGGTTTTTCACTATCAGTTCAGTCCCAGTACACCCGGAAGCGTCGAGATTTTGGGGACGTATGTGATGGCTATTTTGTACCTGGTTGGTGGTTTGGAACATGACTTTTATGACTTTCCATCTATTGGGAATGTCATCATCCCCACTGACGACCTCATATTTTTCAGAGGGGTGGCGAAAAACCACCAACCAGGTACAAATTGTTTTGGTTCCAAATGACAGTGTGTTGGGAAGCCAGTTGTTTTTGACCCGCGACGACAATTGATGGGCCGTATGGCCCTTATGGGCCGTATGCTACACTCTCAATACATCTTGACACCCTGAAAAAATCCTTTGGCCCTCCTTCCATGATCAAAATGTCAGCAAAAACGAACAGATAGTAACCATTAGTAACCCACATCTACCTTTGTCTGAAAATTGAATACCACATTCCATCTGATCAGCACGATCATGTTCTGTATGAAACTTGCCAGGAATCAGAGCCTCCAATTTGCAGACACACCCAACTATCAAATTGGTTGGATGTATATATATATATATTATATATAATATATATAATATATATATTATATATATATCCCACTATGTTTCCAGTAGAATATATCCCATGATATCCCATGTTCTGTTTCTAAATCCCCATTATAGCCCCATCTTTTGTCGTTTTTTCCCTAGGGCCAACCCTCTGAGGTATCGTGGTTCCATTCAGCTGAACGAGTTCAAGGCCGTGATGTTGGCCGCCTTGCGATCCTTGGTCTCTCGGTCTCGAGGTGCGTTGCGGTGGGCTACAGGGTGTGATTCCTGGAGATTGGCTCTCACTGTGCAAAATATATCATATCATTTATTTATATCTATATATAATATAACCATAAAAAAATATATATATATATAAATAAACATATCAAATATGATTTAGACATATAAACGGGAGCTGATTGGAATTCAATGAGTTGCGGAGCCTCCAAAACAACAGTTGGAGATAGGACATTTTGAAAAGAGATCTGTCGAAATTGTAACTTTATCCATGGCACTCCATGACAATCAGTCATCTCAAGCCCTTTGCCAATGATTTTTTTACGAGCCTTGCCAATTGACACTCGAGGCCAGCGAGAATCATTTCAATCCATCTCATTCCACATTATGATTCTATAAGAATCACCCCGAACTTCAACGCTGTTTTCATCAACCATTTGCTAGGGATTCCCAGGGATTTTCACCGACCTTTGCGTATTAAACTTACCAAACCAGGTATTTTTATAGGGTCGATGAACCTCAACAAACATATCCATGTTAAATAAGAAAACCTTTAATATGTCACATCCAACCATAGGAAAGCCATATATCAACCCATATGTTTTCAGATATCAACCCAAATTCTTCCATATATCAACCCATATGTTCCATATATATATATATATATCTATCTATATCTATATATATATATATTATATCTATATCTATATAATTCTATATATATATATATATATATCAGCCCATATGTTTCACATGGCACTGAAACCATCCATGTTTGGTGTCATTTTCGCCGAGGTCCCAAGGGATTGGAGTTCCGAACACGAAGTCGCCTGGACGTGGCTCTGGGAGAACGTGGTGCGGCTCCCCCGGGGACGAAACGCGGAACGCGGTTGACGCGGTTGGGCGGCTGTGTCGACATGGTGACATGGGAAATGATAGGGAAAAAGCGGCAACACTATGGGAATGAGTAAACTGTATCAAGTTTCCTAGGCCTGAAATGAGTGGAAAGTATGATTTGAACTTAAAAGCGATGAGATGATTGAGTTCATTCATAGGTTCGTAGGTGATGTCGTTCTTGTTCATAGCTATCATGAACAATCATGAAAACGTCATAGGAATTGATGAACATGTTCTGTTTGCGGGAAGCTGTGCATGGAGACATGCCATGGCCATGGTCATCATACCTTGGCGCCAGGAGCGCCTGGTTCGAAGCACCTTGGGCAAACCGCAGCAGCAGGAGATGGGGGAGACGGGCGTTGAGCAAAAACGGAGAAGCTTTCAACCAGGAAACCGCTTAAGAAAACATACCTGGTTGGTGGTTTGGAGCATTTTTTTCTACATATATATATATTGGGAATAATCATCCCAACTGATTTTCATATTTTTCAGAGGGGTGGCTCAACCACCATCCACGAATCTTTGAGGATCTTGGAGTTGAAATTGTCTGAGTCTTTGGAGCAGACACAGAAGAAGTCTCAACTGCTGATCCAGGCATCGCTTTCCGAGTTTTCCAATGGGAACTAAGTACAAATATTGCAAATAGGTATTGTGGCCCTGATGTCCTTGATACACCAACCATTTAAGCTACAAACATCATACATCAATCAAGCCTAGTAAGGTCTTCTGAGAGTCAATCACTCGGTGCCACAGCAATTGTGATTTACGTCCACATACAGGTGTGTGCAACCAGCCGGTGCAGATCGCTGTGCTATATGAGTATCCCCATGTTCAGAGCCGCTCAATATACAATATCACTGGTTCATAGTCACCATTTAGTATGGGATAATGATGGTTAATGATGGTTAATAGTGGTTAATAATCACTGGTTGGTGCTTTGGAACATGACTTTTATGACTTTCCATATATTGGGAGTAATAATATATAAGAATCCCAACTGACGAAGTCATATTTTTCAGAGAGGTGGCTCAACCACCCACCAGATATATAATATCAAGTTGGTTAAGTTATGCATCCCATCGTTCGTCCATCGCCCCATGATTATCCCATGATGATTCCATGATTCCTGGCGAATTCCCCATGACATCCCCATTCGAATCGATGACTTTCAGGAGAGAGCTCTGGAGCGTTTCATCAAGAGCCTCACTCCCGAGGCCGCACCTGATCTCCAGAAAAACATCTGGTGGTTACACATGGGTCATTAAATGTCCCCATTGAACATCACCCAACCATTAGGTATATGGTCTATAATGGCTACTATAAGGTGATGTCCAATATTCCCAAAATGGGACAGTTACCAACCACAGTTACAGGCTATGGAAAGCCAACAGGACCCTGGTTGTTCGTCACCAGTAGTTCTGTGGGTTCATTCAGCCATCCACCAGGCACCTATCAATCCATGGCCCAATGGCGCGTCTGAGGCCTTCAACTATTTGCGAACCGAAGTCTATGCCCGATTCTTTCAAATGGCGCCTGCAGGCAGAAAGGATGGGGAGAGCTGAAGAAATTGAACAACGTATATAAACCCACCATCCAGAAAAAGGCGACTTGAAGCAACCTGAAGCAACCAACGGAGAAAAAAACAACTTGAAGTCAAGTCAATCCGGAATTCATTGCTGTAGACTGTTGTAGGCTTCTAAAATTTGCACAGCACCGAGTCAGGACAGGATCACTTTAAGCAGTCGTCCTCGCGCTTGCACTTCATCGCAGACAGAGTGGTTGGTGACCCCAGGTGGTCAGCCTTGGAAACATGATACTGCTAACCTTGGATTAGTAAACCCCTGTTTTTGTAGGGAAGATTCGGGAAGTATATGTAGAGTTGTGTTTTTAACAGCTATTATATATATATATCATATATATTCATATGTACAGTGTTTTGTGAGGAGTCTATAAACAAACTGGGCCTTATGCTCAGAGATTGACAACAAACCCTTGGAGGCAGACCTACCCAAAGCCATCGAAAGCCATGGTTAATCCCTCGGTTTCGTATGGTTGTTTTAGAGTCAGCGATTTGGATGGTTCAGTCCTCATGTTGGAGCTAAATCTCCATTTCGTACATTTGAAATCCACCATTTTAAACATAGTTAAACCATGTTCAACCACCATTTGTGTCGGTTAAAACCCACCATGTTTGTTGCTTATATCCATCTCTTTTCATCACCCAAACATATCGAGAGCCCAGGTAGAGATGACCATCGATATCTATTGCGAGCCTCGAAGGCCTCCAAAGACTTTTGGGATGATATATGTACGTTTAATTTAACATATCTATTGTACATATATATATATGTATATTATTATTTATCATATTATATATTCTATAGTATATATTATAGATTATATATTATATATAGGTATGATAGAGGTATGATATGTTCTTTTAATCAAGTATGCACATAAATATATTGTAAGACTGTATTAGATATGGTTTGGTTCGTGCTGATTTCTGGGAGATGAAGGATGCAGCCATGATAGCCTGATTCTTGTTGGTAATTTGCCATCTTGCATCTTAGAATTCTTTGGACATTACACTTACTGCCTTATGTTATTGCTCAATACGTTTCAAAATTTGTTTCAGGATCCATCCCCACTATAAGTTCCGTATATCCTCATGATTGCCGTCGTTGAATTTAAAAAAACGTTTACTCTTGCTGGACATTCAAAGATTCGAGTGTTTCCTTCTGGATGTGTATCTTCTGATATTCTAACATCGCTGTGGAAAATGGCCTATCTGTAGATGAATAACTACTAAGAACACGGTTTTGTTTATGCTCTATGATTGTCTAGTCTTGTCCATCATTTTCTATAGCTATATCAAATCATCAAGTAGTTATCCAATGTTGGTATAGCTCCATGATGATATTGAGAGACCATTACCGAACAATGTTGGTATAGCTCCATGTTTCGATGTTCGTGTAGCTCCATGGTTCAACATGCTTGGATACTTATCACGATGATAATATATTAATATATTATAATAACAATAACCATGTTGGTATATGGATAGTTATCAGTTATCATGATTGTTGGTATATCACATTGCCTAGTCCACATGATAATATTATCATCAAGGAATCAAGGAGCTCACCGCAGGATGGTGGAAGACATCTCGGCCCTGGGTTTGCGTCACGTTGGCTACGCCATTCCCACGGAGCCTGGGTTTAAGCATCAAGAGATGGAGATAGAGTTGGGATGAAAGTTCATAAACGCTGGTTTTTTGTCATTTTTTTTTTTCAGGGGTGGTTTCTAGCCGATCTTATATGATATGATATTCTATAATATATATATATACTGTATATATATATATATACACTATATATATATATAGGTAGAATTATGTGTATTGAGAATTATCGTAATCCATCATGGGGATCTGCTACCATCGTCATCACCGTCGGCGGAGCGCTAAGGAGTTGTTTGCTCCCTTCGTGTCCTGCTTTGTGGAGACGGTCCCTCGGCTGCAAAGGTGGTCTCAAAGATGGCTGGAAAATCCCCGAGCTTAGTAGGGAATGGATGGGTTGCTGGGGAAATGGGATGATGACATTACTAGTGATGACTGGGATCATTCCCGAAAATTCCCTAAGCGTAAAACGCACCAGTAAGATGATTGTGTGAAAAAAAAAGATCTGTAGATAGATCATTTTTCAACAAGCTATGTCTGATTCCCGGGTACCCAAGCAAGAAAAGATGAGGATGGTTAATGTATCGAAGGGAAAACACATGTTGCTTTGAACATGGATGATGAATTTGAGTCCAAATTTTGACATGAAAATGTGACCGACTAAACTTACTAAATACCCAAGAAAGGCACTGCGACAATTTGGGTTGTTGCCATGATGCTCCCAATGATTCCTCGGGTTTTGTTGTCGAAGCGATGTGGCCAGAAAAATTGGATCATTCACTGGGCAGATGAAACTGTGGGCATCATGAAATTGATAAACAACATGTCCCAACTGGTGTTTGGGATGTCTTTCATGAGTGTTTTGCTATTAGTAATTAGCAGAAGTGTGTATGAGCGTGTTTCATTGGTTCTGATTGTTGTTGATTGGTAAACATGTCATCAGGAGAAAGGAAATAGAATGTCATCAGCTGTAAATACTTGGCTCTAAATAGAAAAAAACACGTTCTTTGATGCTAAATTATAAATTATAGCAAACATGTGGATTCGAGTCCACTACCCATATAGTGGATAGTCACCAGTTCCGCACTAGCAAATTGATTATACTAAATGTTTGCAGGATAAAGTTCCCTCTTTGATGGTGTTGTAACCTCATATCATTTGGATGATTAGTATTGTTTCTTTCTCTTCATTTTTATCTTACTGCATGGTTTAGAACCAAAATTTCTCCTGATCCACTATCCCGAACTGTCACTTCATGTCGCGTAGACAGTTTTGGAAGGTTTGAGTCAAGGTTTCTCTTTATTCTGTATCCTTATTCACCATTTCAGTCTCACAATAGTTGCATCGCTGACAAGTTCAAATTGTTGCTGATGGGCGCGCTGGGTCAGTGGTGTCTCAGGTTAAGGAGCTCACCTCGGATGAAGCTTGGCAGTTGGTCAGGTGGATAGTTGGTTACCAAGAAAAGTATTTCCGGATGTAATATGTCATGATTTCGAACCTATAGCTGTCCCAATAGAGTTAATTAGTCAACTTTCAGTCAATCAGCCACTGAAACTGTTCACGCTTCAGATTCACTCACCAAATCTAGGAGTTTAAAGTCCATCCAGTGCTGACAGGAACCACTGCTACTCCCTGGCTGTCACTGAGGAATTGGCTCAACAGGCGTTCCGCTGGTCCTTGACGCTGATTTCCAAGACCCTTGGGCAAAACGCATAGGTCGCAGCTTCTGAGATGTTGCTTTCTTCGAGAACAGTCGGAAAAACAATCGCAAAACCCATCAAAATGCATAAAAACCAATCAAAATCCATCAAAATCCATCCAAATCATAGAAAATCCAACCTTCTCCCAGACATCCCCGGACATCCAAGAACATGTTTCTGCAATCCATACAGTATCTCCTTGAAAAGTTGCCGGCGGTCCCTTGGTTTTGGTTCAGTTCAACTGCGCCAAGGATGTTGGTCAGGACCATCTTGGAGGGATCTACTGTGGTCATGAAGGTGATCCTGAAAAGTGGGTCCCTGGGAAAGTTGTCTCCCTGAAAAGTGGGAAAAACCCAAGCTATTTTCATAGCTGTTTAATGGCTATAGTTGCTAAATAGCGCGATCATTGTTATAGCTAATGTTGATTTAGGGCCAAGTTTAATAGCTGTGAAAAACTATGGCTATAACTTGGAACTAAATGGCTGTTTATAAATGGGTTAATGGGATATAGCAATGTTATAGCTGTTGAACAAACTTAGAACTAACTGTGGCTATGGCTACCACTTAGAAAAAACCATTGTTTTTTCCTAAGTGGGATGATCCTCCACTACATGGTCCCGAAAATGGGGCATGGGCCCCAAGTTATGGCATTTAAAAAATGGGAAAATGAAGATGATGATCACCCCCAGAATTAAACAGGGGTGCCCCTGTTTTCGGAAAATCCGGATGTTGATGGTTCACGAAATCAAAAAATGTCTCATGCTGGCAGATGGCCCATGTTTGCTTCTCACAAAGCAACTTTTGTGGACACTGACTGGTTGGTTGTTTTGAAAGATTTTTTATTTTCGATAATATATAGGATAATACTTCCCATTGACTTTCATATTTTTCAAGATGGTTAAAACCACCAACCAGCTGATAAATCATGCCCCTAGTTTTCTAATTTTACCGACCTCTTGCTTCTCACATGCCAAGAATCTCTTTTTGAACCTTATTGATGATGTATGATGAGGTTATATAACATCATAAAGCATCACATATTTATATATATATATATGTATATAATATGGTTATAATATATATATATATACACAGTTATATACATATGCAATGTGTATATTCCATCTAGGGTGCTCATTCACACCCGGTTGCCCCATACAGGCGGTGAACACCAACTCGGAGAAGCAGTTGCGCAAGGCGATCTCCATCGCGCCCCGCGGGAAGCGTGCAGCATCTGGGATTTTTGATGATGGCGCAGTGGAACGGCGTTGGGAACGTTGGGACTTGGGGTGGGGGAGATGTACCCGGCCTGGTTACCCTCTGGTTATGTCAACCTAGCTATGGAAAGATCCACCATTTTCAATGGGAAAATCCACTATTTCTACGGTGATTTTCCATAGTTAGGTTAGTTTACCAGAGGGTATGTCAACATAGCTATTGAACATGGCCCAGTCGAAATAGTGGATTTACATAAATGATTTAGCCATTGATAGCATGGTGGATCTGTCCATAGTTTTTTGGTTCACGTTTACCAGAGTAGATTAGCTGGTGAAATCTGGTGACACTGATTTTTCCTGCGAGTGTTGTGTCATACCCCACTGTCAGACACACCCAAATATCCTAAAATATCCCCATAGATCCGATTAGATCCCATCATATCCCCAGAAAATGCTATCGGTATCTTTTTTGTACTGTATCATACCATGATTTTTGTTGGATAGATCGCAGACCCGCTGCTTGAGATGGCGAGGTCTGGCTACTGGACATCACTGTGGGTTCTCAAACCATCTCTCCACTGCATTGGGCCGGGCTTCTCAGTTCTGCCCCCAGCTGAGATGAAAAAATGGAGATAGCAATGGATGTGTTCCTGGTGTAACTACACTTTTTCTTGTATCTTTACTTCAAGATCTTCAAGTATTAATGATCAAAAAAGAACATCAAGAGCTAACTGTGAACCGTGTGAAATCTGTGACACCAGCTGTTTTTCGCCAGGCGCTTCAAAGCGGCAGTTTGAGGACAGCGAAGGCGTCACATGACGTCACAAGTCATGGGTCTCCTTCAACAACTGTAGAATTAAATGAAGCCCCATTAAATGTTCCTCCGAAATACTGTAGTTTCCAACTCTAGTATTCCATCATATTCCAACCAACTAACCTATATTTTCCAAGCAACTGTCTATAGTATTCCATCATATTCCAACTATCTATAGTACTATAGTATTATATACCAAGAATCTATAGATATTCTATAGTTCGTTCTGCAAAAGCCACGATTTTCAGATGTTTTTTTCGGAGGCCATGATTCAAGATCTCCTGACGATCCGTGCAGATCGCACCTGGGCGGATCAACGGAGGTTCATTCCAGAATGGTGAAGCCCCAGAATGAACGGAGGTTTATATGTTTATAATGGCGGTTCATATAGAATAACCATATAGAATAGTATAGGTTTATATGTTTATACTATTCGATACCTATTCTATATAATTACTATGTTTATGTTGTTTATATACTATTCTATACTATTCTACAGACTATAACCATGACGCACCAAACATGGGGGATGATTTTGTTTTGGATATGAATACTTTAAATGTCTCCAAACATCTCCGATTTGGTTTTTAGATGTTTTTAGGGAAAAAACAGAATGTTGGAACTTCACTAAGCAGGGTTACTAACCAGGGGGTTACGTTTGAAAGGATTATCCTATGTCCGGCAAGATGTAGGTTCGTGTCCAACTATATGTTGGAGAGGATCAGGATGGTACTTTTTGGAGGGGATTGGAAAGAATGATCCTCCAGCATAAGTTAAAGGTGATACCTACTACTATGGCTGCGACGAGCTCTTTGCACGCCATCCGGATATCGTCAAACGCCTCATCGCAGATGCATGGCGATGGATGGATGTTGCCGGATGTGGGCTAGAGTTCAATGGAGGGACTGAAACCCTGAACCTCCCAGTGATGGGGATTGGTTTCCCAATAAGAATCGAGTGGTTTTCCCATTAACAAATTTTGACTCATATCTGACGCTTGCTGTACCTAGAACTGGTTGGTGGTTCGAAAAAAAATGGTATGACGTTCCTTGCTGTTACCAGGTGACTCAACGGAGGCCCAACCAGCTGGATTTTTATCATGGAAGTCTATAGCTGGGTTGATTTTCCAGCACACCATGTTTGATGACACCGGAGGGTAGAGCTGTTCAATTACCCATCAAATATATACAAAAATCATCCATTAATCATCCATTGATCATCCACTATTGTTGTTACTATACCCATTACATATAATGTGTGTAAAACAATGTCATAAGCCAGCCATGACTGGGAATGGTAACATACCACCTATAAAAATGGTGATGACTGGCCGCCACCAAGGATGCTGAATACCTTCTGCCCGTGCTCCTGGATGGATTGCGACGCGGCAGACTGGGATCAAACGTGATGTGTATTTCATCAAACATGGGAAATAGTTTAACTGACTTAACTCTGAACCATCGTGATCGGTTTCCTAAACTGGAACCCCAAAATCATCCAATCGTTCGCTCATGTTTCTACTGTGGCCGAGTTTTTGGGCTGTCTTTATGATTCTAGATTTTGGATCGGCAAAGCCCATTGTTTGAGGATGAAAAATCCGCTTGGTCTTTCCAGGTATACTTTGCAACACCCCAGCATTGCCCACCAAGTAAAAACTCTTATGAATGCTTCAGTGTTTCACCGTGCATTGCCAAAACCTGGATTGAAATGGGTTCAAACGGGTTGAAATGGGTTGAAACATTCCAGACCATATCATCCAATATGAAACCACGGTCAAAGCATGTTAAGTCATCTTTGACCAGCTCAACGCATACTGAGCACCATCTTAAACCGCAGCATTCATGTGTAAGCATAATATCTGAAACATGATCTTAAGCCGCATTAAACGCCATATCCCATAGGATCCATGTATGGTATATGCTAACATTTGGGGTATATTGATGGTAAATGTTACCATATATAGCAGCACCATGGATCCTATGGCTATTCACCATGTTTGATCCACAACTTCACCGGCACGACATCTTCCCTTAAGGCGACATCCCAAGCCACGACTCAGATCCTGGCACCGCCCAGGATCTGGCGTTCGCGCGTGCCGGTGAAGGGCAAGCGCAGGGTGAATTACTTCGTGAAGCATCTGATGGTGGACGAAGTCGGCGACTTCAGCAAGGAGAGATGTCGGAGAGATGTCGAATCCCATGGTTGATATGGTTGGGTGGGGTGGGTTGTAAGGGCTCCAAAATATGGCCCAAGAGTGATGAGGTTTCTAAGACACCATCAGATTTGGTGGGGCACTCCAGTTTTTTTCAATTTTCAGGTACCAACTCCAAATGTATGAAGGTTGGCAGCACAAAAGGTAGGTATCAACAGATGTTTCTTTGATGGAACATTGGGATTTACCTTTTGGTTAAAAGAAACGAGACAGCAAGGTACAACATGGTACAACCTTTTGATGCCCAGTGAAAGGGAAAGTGAAAGTACAATGAACTCCAGTGAAAGTTTCCTTCAAATCAGTGAAAGTCTCCTATTCAAATGAGTTTAATGAAAGGGAAAAACTGGATGGACGAATCATGCTTTCATGGGGGAGATCATCCACGTATATGCACGTGCTTTCATGGATTTGTTCACCAAGACAGATACCCTCCAGTAAACTAACGTAGCTGCGCTATTGAAACTATATAGTAGTTTTTAGATTTTAGTTGAGTTACCTATTGACAATTGTGATTTCCATAGCAAACTGTTAGATTACCAGAGGGTAGGAGATTTCAATTCAATGCCTATAATTGGTGGAATCTGCTGATTTCTCAGGCGTTGAGATGGATCGTGAAAGCAGGCAATGCAAAGAGTCTCGGCTCGTCGATGGTGGATCCCAGGATGCTGAAGAGAAGGTAAAGATGTTGGAAATCCCTTAGAAACGGAAGTTTATAGCTGGGAAATTCATACTAATTAATGGAGGATTTTCCAGCACGCCATGTTTGAATACCGGAGGGTATGTGTTACGTGTGCTGGCAAATGAACATGATACCGGATACCCCCTCGGCTGTGTCCTTGTTTGTCTTGGGATACTCCACCAAACTACAGAATTGCTTCCATCCCGCACGAGAAGACGTACTCCATACTGTTCTAACAAATCACATATGATGTTGTCATATTGCCATTCTACATTTGTTCTGTCCCCAAAATATGTTGGTCAGGTCTTGGTTTTATGTCTTTTCTTATCTGTATCTCCATTCAACTGCATCGCCCACTTTGTTTTTTGGGTATTTTTGGGTCATGTTGACGTCGTTCCCATGTAGTGTTCCTTTCAGCCCTGTGCTGCGTGTTAAGATCCACCGTCGCTGTCGCTGAGGATCATATGCCACCCAGCAGCTTGGCCAAACAGTTCCAGACTCCTCCAGATATTTGATCTATGACCGAAAAGGTGGTAGTAGAATGTAGTACAGATAGATGTTTGAAAAATATCAATAACGTAATATAACATAATAATACATCATATAACTGGTTTATATATGTAATATATTATATTTATATAAAATAATGTATGATAATATATATATATATATATATATCGTAGACTGTTAAGCCCAAGTTTGAGCCACAGCCACTTTCCTTGGCCAATTTGTTTTCCCCCAGTCATCTCCAGTCATCCCCGAGGCGGTGGTGCTGGTTGCCGACATTCTCTGGAGCCGCATTGCGAGCGCCTACTTCTTGGCACTACGTGCCTTGACATCAATAGAGACTTGAAAAACTCAGAATGGGTCACCTGAAAACACATCTTCATCCCAAAGTGATTTGAAGTATTTGAAGTATTTAAAGCATTTGAAGTGTTTAAAGCATTTGAAGCATTTGAATCTATTCGAAGTTTCAGGTATTTTTGAGAGTTACTGTAGATCTATAGTACCCCCGGAGATCTCTTTGTTCCACGGTTTTGTTCCCCGAGGTTTCTGGATGTTGCTGGTCCTCCTGTGCTTCGTCGTCAGCCAATCGGTGTTGCCACGACTTCACACGGTGCCGTGGCGCGCCGCTTGCGCCGCTTGCGCCGTGCCAAGGTCTATTCGATATGGTTTTTTTCGACATGGCTAGCTGGATAAAATGTCCTATTTTGAACGGGAAAAAATATGGGATGATAACCACCATAAATTGGGATATAATCCCCATAAATTTGGAATAATTGGGATATAACCACCATAAATATGGGATGATCATCACCTAAAATAGATCTGTAAAAAGTATAGTAGTTTATATTAGTTTCTGGTGATTTTCTATAGGTCAAGATACTGAATGGTCATGGTATCTCTAGCAATCTCTAGCAACGAGTGATTCGACCTTGGTCATACCCAACTGCCAGCCACAACCCAGATCATGTTACAATTTGTTGCAATTATACTGGTGTATGTTGAGTGAACATCAGTAACATAGAATAAAATAGAATAGGTTATTGCATATTCTGTTAACTATCTGCGTTCAATTTTAAAGAACCATTAAATGAGTGATTCGTTGTGAGTCACGGGTCGTGCTATCATCGATATTCCCAGGTGAGCACCGACACCGACAATCTGGTCATGGTTGTGTTGAGGCGCGCTAAGTGCATTGCACCATGCATTTCTAGCATGTATGATCATTTATGGGACCATGATAATATACATACAGTGGTTTATATATATATACATATATATATATATACAGTATGTATACAATGTATTATATATGATATATGATGTGTGTTTGTATGTTTGTTGCGTTTTTTTCTGCTTTAAGTTTTGTGTGAATGGGGATGGACAATATATCTCTGTTTGTTTGTTTTAGACATTGTTTCATGGACAGACGTATAGTCTGGTGATGTTTGATGGGAAATGTACAGAGATGTGATACATTGAAGTGTTCACATGTGATATCTTGATGTGTGTTCAAGTGCTCACCTCTATCCCACTATTTGATACTTTTTCAGGACCTATAATGGCACACATTCCCCTATTTGGTTCCAGACATCAGTGTGATTCCGCATGAGGATCTTCGTGTACATTAGCATCTTTTCCACATTCAGTGTGGTGCAAATACGCCAGTTCATTCAAGACATCAGGTGCAAAACGCGACCGGGGAAGCGTTTGGTTGGCTACAAGATTGGGGACTCTTAATGTCATGGAAAAAAGGGAACATAGATGAAGATAGTCTAGTTGATGTGCCTTTTAGGATACCCCAAAAATGTTCCGTCAACTGTCCAATTTCCTTTGATACCCTTAGTCCATGCACGCTGTGGAACTTGATGTGACTTCATCTTCGTTCATGAGCGTGGTTCGAGGGGCAAGAAAAGCATTAGTCGGCCATTCTGTAGAAGCATCATCAGTGGCAAATGCTCTGGTCAATGAATGAATTGTGAGTCATATTCCCATTTCTGTCGTGTATACAGTCTATACACATGTTCTCATCATATATCAAAGTATGTGTACTGGGGGTTCTTTTCCAGTTTTAAAGTTGACATATCACCGTAGTTGTAGGAGTTATATCCCAATTTATGGTGGTTATATCCCAATTTATGGTGGTTATATCCCAATTTATGGTGGTTATATCCAAATTTTATGGGGACTATCTTAGTTAAATCACCATTTTTCTCCGGAAAGCCCTTCATAGCTAGCGCCCGCGACTTACCCAACGACGGTGACGGTTCCAGGTCGGGGAGTTTCGTGCAGATCTACCAGATCCCGTGGCCACAATTCCTGACCGACTGGAAAGAGCGCGTGGCACTTGCCCTGGTGTCCTGGACCGCTGGGTGCTGGGAGCCATAGATGACCCACTGGGAAGGGCTAAATGATTGGGGTTTATAAACGTTTATAATCCATTATATATATATATGTGTATATGACATCTATGTGCAATCATGTTCTGTAATGGATCTGGTGGATTAGGATGGATGAGGATGATGAGGAGGATGCTGGTGCTGCTGGTGGTGCTGGCGATGATGCAGATATCAGCGCGATAGTTCTTGGTACCTATGCTGGGAAAATCTTTCAAGTTTCCTATCATTGGTTGCCAAAATGCGAGTGCTAATAAGACAATCTGAAACTGCAATTCAATCAAACCAAGAGAAGAAGATGTGTTGCCGCATTGCCTTAACTTAACATTGCCAGGGGTTGTTTTTCCTCGCTCCGTAAATTCGATGTCAAGCTCACGATTGTTTTGAAGATGGTCTCTTAAAGAATGCATACGGAGTCTAAAAAATTGGAGCCCCAAAATCCAAAATTGGTTATTAACCATGGTTAATCATGGTTAATCATGGTTAATCATGCATCAATAGGGAAACCAATTTGTTGGGGCCCCAAATTTTGAAGAACTCCCCATATCCAGCAGCCAACAAGCCAAGCGTGAGGTTCTGGTCCTGATCGCGATGGCTGCGCAGGAGAATCCGACGGATGGGAGACTGATGATGGGTAGTTCCCAAGATTCAAAATCATAATAGGTAGATCAGCTATAAATGGGCCAATTTCCATAGTCGTGTGAGTTTACCAGAGGGTAACCAAACATTCAAAATCACCCATTGTTGGGGAACTACCCTTTGTATGGCCCATATTTTGGTGTTTCCAATGGAACTACCCCATTGTTGGGGAAAAAATGAGAACTACCCATCATTGTTGGAACTAAATCATCCATGGTTGGGGAAAAAGTGATTGGATGTCCTGGTGTGGGAAAATCAGAAGCGGATCGTATCATTCAAAAACTTGGTTAGGCCTGTCCCAAAATGGGGTATACCCCCAAATTATAATCATTCAATGGGGAAAATGGTGATCAACCGTCAATTTTTTTTTGGATCACAACCATATATTTTCAGACCAAGCCAACATATTTTGTATGTTTGCATATTTTAAGAATCATACAATAAGAAGACTTGGTCCATGTCACCTGAGGGTTAACCCCCGCGTCGTGAGGAGCCAATCTTGTACTGCCTTGGAGCAGAGGCGCGTCCCAAAATCATGGGATTCTGCAAAGTTGGACCATGGACGTCCCGAAGCCGGTTGGTGGTGACTGGAACATTGGTGAAATGTATGGGATAATGATGGTTAATGATGGCTAATGATGGTTAATGATGGCTAATGATGGTTAATGATGGTTAATGATGGTTAATGATGGTTAATAATCACTGGTTGGTGGTGACTGGAACCATGGAATTTTCTGAACCATAGATTTTGGAAAAATAATGGATTGTGACTTTCCCATCAGATTGGGAATTTCATCATCCCAACTGACGAACTCAATGATTTTCCAGAGGGGTAGGTTGAAACCACCAACCAGGATTCATATCCCATTACTTTTCCATTAGATATCCCATTGGATACATAAATATTCCTTGACTTAGCCACCGTGGTAGGTTGAAACCACCAAACAGATGATATTCCATGATAGTTATCAAAGTATACCAGCCATTCCCCATCCCATCGCCCAACTTTCCCTATCTTTAACTTCCCCACGGTTTATCAGCTGAACGTCCGCCGAACTTCCAAGGGCTATGGACACTTCACCCAGAGCTGCCCAGCCGGCCTGGCTCGCAAGGTGGGGGCACCTGGGATGGTTTTCCATGGGTTTTCTATAAATTTGTCATGTCCTGGGTGGTAGAAAAACACCTATGAAAAATAGGGGGTCGTCCATCTGATCATCAGGATTCTTCCAAGATTTCCAAGTCACAGGTAGATAAAAAAGCCACTGTTACCGTGTAGATGTGATCATAGATTACCCCTTTATCTACTCAGATTGCGGCCTTCCTGGATTTTTTTTGTTTACGCTGCGTGAGGACGGCTACTCCACTGCCAGTGCCATTGCGTTGATGCTGTTTTTCGCGAGGATTACCGATTTGAGCACCTGGCTTTGATGGGCCACGTGTCTTCTGTTTCTGTATATATATATATATACGTATATAAATAAATATATAATATATATATGTACATAGATACGTATTATATATATATACATGTTTGATTATGTTTATAATTTATAACATTCCCATTTTGGGTTTCACCTTACTAATAGAAAAGGATGATAGACCCTCAAGCTGCTCCGGCGAGGTATTTTGTCCACCTGGGCCAGCGCATTTCTGCTGGTCTGTGGTCGAATGCTACGAGAGACACTGGGCGAATGATTTCAGCTCTGTTTTTCTCTGGTAAAGTGTTTGGTGACTTTACAACTGAAAGATGATCCCCATTATAATGGATTATCCCGCTATGATATTGTAATAGATTATCATAGATTATCCCTATCTTAGTTCCTGATATAATTAGTCTATTCCCATATTTTTGTGGAACGAAATGAGTTCGCAAGATTTCGCAAGTATCCAAGATCCTGGTGCAAATCCTCCATTGATGAAATCCTCCATTGATTCATTGATCAATTCGCTGGTAATATCCCCAGGTTGGTTGAATGAATTAGTTTTAACATCCAGTCAATGTGTTTGATATCCTGTTGGTCGTTTCTATCAAATATAACATAGACCCGGGCAAGCCGGCGGCGGAAGTTTCCCAAACATAAATGACCTATAGTTCAAAGACAACCTGTCCCGACCGTGTCCTTCCCTCGACACTCCACACCTCACACTGCACACTGCACTCTTCGCACTCCAAACTTCAAACTTCACACTCCACACTTCACCACTCCACACTTTCTCACTTCTCACTGTTCCTTCACACTCCAAACCTCACACTTCACACTTCACACTCCACACTTCACACTGCACACTTCACACTTCACAGTCCACACCTCACACTTCACACTTCACAGTCCACACTTCACACTTCACACTTCACAGTCCACACTTCTCACTTCAGACTTCACACTTCACACTCCACATTTCACACTTCTCACTTCTCACTGCTTCCTTCACACTCCAAACTTCACACTTCACACTTCACACTTCTCACTTCGCACTTCACACTCCACACTTCTCACTTCTCACTGCTTCCTTCACACTCCAAACTTCACACTTCACACTTCTCACGTCGCACTTCACACTCCACATTTCACAGCCACATTCAAACATTCTGCACTTCTCACTGCTTTTCCTTCCGACTCCAAACTTCCACACTCCAAATCCACACTTACACTTCTCACTTCGCACTTCACACTCCACACTTCACTCACACTTCACACTTCACAGTCCACACTTCACACTTCTCACTTCTCACTGCTTCCTTCCCACTCCAAACTCCACACTTCACACTTCTCACTTCGCACTTCACACTTCACAGTCCACACTTCACACTTCTCACTTCTCACTGCTTCCTTCCCACTCCAAACTCCACACTTCACACTTCTCACGTCGCACTTCACACTCCACATTTCACACTTCACAGTCCACACTTCACACTTCTCACTTCTCACTTTCACACCCACATTCACTCACACTTCACACTTCTCAATTATCATGCTTCCGTCAACACTCCAAACCTCACACTTCACACTTCACACTTTCACACTGCGTCTAGCACTCAAACTGAAACTGCCACTCCACCACTCCAAACTTCAAACTTCACACTCCACACTTCACACTTCTCACTTCTCACTGCTTCCTTCACACTCCAAGCCTCACACTTCACACTTCACACTTTACACTTCACACTGCGCTCTTGGCACTCCAAACTTAAACTTCACACTCCACACTTCACATTCCACACTTGACACTTCGCACTTCCCACTTCACACTTCACACTGCACTCTTCACGCCCCACACTTCACACTGCTCTAAACGTACGTCCAACCAAAAAAAACACTAGTGCCAAAATGGAGAAAATCTGCTAACAAATCCATTTCGCAGCCTTCATGCAGCCACTCCAAGACGATTTCCGAGATCCAGCTGCAAAAGACAATAGTATTACCAATGCAGCCACAGCACGAAGCAACCTTGACGCAGCCATTACAATGCGATCTGCAGAGACTGAGTTGCAAAACACAATAGAACTACGCACAACGGCGTCGGAAATTGTAGCTCCAAAACCGGATCTCGACGCCAGAGCGAAAAAAGACGATTTTGAAGCACTTTTTAAAAGGATTTTTAGAAGGAAAATCACTAGCGCCAAAATGGAGAAAATCTGCTAACAAATCCATGTCGCAGCCTTCATGCAGCCACTCCAAGACGATTTACGAGATCCAGCTGCAAAAGACAATAGTATTACGAATGCAGCCACAGCACGAAGCAACCTTGACGCAGCCATTACAATGCGATCTGCAGAGACTGAGTTGCAAAACACAATAGAACTACGCGCAACGGCGTCAGAAATTGTAGCTCCAAAACCGGATCTCGACGCCAGAGCGAAAACAAGACGATTTTGAAGCACTTTTTAAAAGGATTTTTAGAAGGAAAATCACTAGCGCCAAAATGGAGAAAATCTGCTGACAAATCACTGTCGCAGCCTTCATGCAGCAACTCCAATACGATTTACGAGATCCAGCTGCAAAAGACAATAGTATTACGAATGCAGCCACAGCACGCAGCAACCTTGACGCAGCCATTACAATGCGATCTGCAGAGCTTGAGTTCCAAAACACAATAGAACTACGCGCAACGGCGTCGGAAATTGTAGCTCCAAAACCGGATCTCGACGCCAGAGCGAAAAAAAGACGATTTTGAAGCATTTTTTAAAAGGATTTTTAGAAGGAAAATCACTAGCGCCAAAATGGAGAAAATCTGCTGACAAATCACTGTGGCAGCCTTCATGCAGCCACTCCAGTACGATTTACGAGATCCAGCTGCAAAAGACAATAGTATTACGAATGCAGCCACAGCACGAAGCAACCTTGACGCAGCCATTTACACTGCGGGAACGATCCTACAATTGCAAAGCAGAATGGAATTCCATCGGCTACTCATCCACCAGCACCACTTGCAATCCCATTTACATTGCGGGAACGATCCTAGAGTTGCAAATCAGAATGGAATTCCATCGGCAACTCATCCACCAGCACCACTTGCAACCCCATTTACAATGCGGGAACGATCCTACAGTTGCAAATCACAATGGAATTCCATCTGCAACTCATCCACCAGCACCACTTGCAATCCCATTTACAGTGAGGGAACGATCCTAGAGTTGCAAATCACAATGGAATTCCATCAGCAACTCATCCACCAGCACCACTTGCAATCCCATCTACATTGCGGGAACGATCCTACAGTTGCAAATCACAATGGAATTCTGTCGACCACACATGCACGAAAAACAGTTGAAACCCCATTTACAATGCGGAACCGATCCGACCATGATCCGAGCATATCCGACCATGATCCGACCACACACGAGACCGTCTCGCACCCGTCGCACCGCAGAGGTAGATCATCGAGGTTCAGGGACGGACTTTGTATGGAAAAACATAGGCTTTCGTGCATCTGCTATCTCTCAAAAACGCATTTCGTGCGAGACTTCCTCCAAAACTCCATCGGCAACTCCTCCACCAGCACCACTTGCAATCCCATTTACAGTGAGGGAACGATCCTAGAGTTGCAAATCACAATGGAATTCCATCGGCAACTCATCCACCAGCACCACTTGCAATCCCAACAGTTGCAAATCACAATGGAATTCTGTCGACCACAAATGCACGAAACACAGGTGACACCCCATTTACAATGCGGAACCGATCCGAGAATGATCCGAGAATATCCGACCATGATCCGACCACACACGAGACCGTCTCGCACCCGTCGCACCGCAGAGGTAGATCATCGGCGTTTCATAGGGTTTCGTGCATCTGCTATCTCTCAAAAACGCATTTCGTGCGAGACTTCCTCAAAACTCCATCGGCAACTCCTCCACCAGCACCACTGCAATCCCATTTACAGTGAGGGAACAATTTGCTAACTCTTTCTGTGACTAACTCTTTCCCTCACTATCTCTTTCTTTGACTAACTCTTTCCCTGACTAACTCTTTCTTTGACTACCTCTATGACTAACTCTTTCCCTTGACTAACTCTTTCCCTGACTAACTGTTTCTTTGACTAACTCTTTCTTTAACTAACTCTTTCCCTGACGAACTCTTTCTTTGCTAACTCTTTCTGTGACGAACTCTTTCTTTGCTACCTCTTTCTTTGACTAACTCTTTCCCTGACGAACTCTTTCTTTGCTACCTCTTTCTTTGACTACTAACTCTTTCCCTGACGAACTCTTTCTTTGCTAACTAACTCTTTCCCTTTGACTAACTCTTTCTTTGACTAACTCTTTCTTCTTTCTTTGACTAACTCTTCTTTGACTAACTCTTTCTTTGACTAACTCTTTCCCTGACGAACTCTTTCTTTGCTACCTCTTTCTTTGACTAACTCTTTCCCTGACGAACTCTTTCTTTGCTACCTCTTTCTTTGACTAACTCTTTCCCTGACATTCTAAAAGTCCGTAACACGGAAGTTTCTCCCCCTAAACTTCCTTTGACTATGCATTGCTATGTTCTGAATAGAAAAAGACACTGAGTTTGTTGGTTACAAAAACATATTGAGCATTCAGGTTCCTGTTGATCCATATCCCCAATTTGTCGGTTGTATCCGTATATCATATTTGCACATATAACATGTGCCCTTCACCACACGTCCACAAGGTTGGTCCTCTTCTTGCTGGCCATCGTTTTCCTTATCGTGGCCTTTGCAACCTCCGTTTGCACGCACCTAGGAAGCGGTTTGCGGTTGAGAGTTTGGAAGAGAGGAATACGAACGGATGATTCAATATGGTCGAGTATGGTTTAATTGGTTCAATATTGTTCAACACAGTTCAATATGATTAATTTTACTTAATGAAGAATTGGTTTGCTTTAATATGGTTTAAGAATATAGAATTACATAATATGGTTGGTTGGTACTAAAATATGACGAATTTGGTAAGTCCGGTACCCAAGTGTTAACCCAGCAGGTCGACCCACAATACCAGGGCTTTCACAAGCCATGTTTTTTTCTGCCTTAACAGTGGTTCATTAGCCTTGATGAATTGAATTTGAATTGATTTGTTCCTAAGGCCTTTCACAAACCATCAAGCCAAATCAATGAATTGAATTTGAATTGAATTTGTTTGATGGTTTCAAGGCTCCTTGAGAAGCCTCATTGATTTTTGTAAAGCCCAACTCTGCTTCATTAGGTTTCATAAGTCCTCTGGGACTGATAGGGGTGCATATGCCTTATATCACCGAATCCCCAAAATATTTGATGCTGTTTCTTTCAGGAACCCCCTATACTTGACTGGTGAAACCTTGATTTCTCAGAGATATTTTCCTACCAACCCCATGATTTTTTGGTCCAACTCTGTTGAGTGGGAACCGTCATTGTTACAATTGTAAGTATATACCAACGGATTAGACACAGTTGCTTACTATACCCATAATATATACCCGTATCAACCCATGTTTCTTTAGATAAACCATGTGAATCCGTAATATATATATATACATATCAATGTAAGATATCATGATATCATTTACCCAGATCCAGTGTTTATCCTGATAAATTATTAATATGATATACTATGATATACTAAGATCCATAGTATCTACACCCATATATTAGCAATTAAACATGATTATTATGATATATCTCATATTTGACATGATCCATATTAACATATATTAACAGTACCATATCCATATCTATCCATATCGATATTGATCCACACCCTTCTGCATCTCCAAGCATTGAATGGTTTCCCTTCGGTGACACGGAGGCTCCAAGAGACCTTCGAAGATTTCAGCCGCGCGGATCGTGCCATGCTGTCGCTCTCAGTGCCTCGGTGAAATCCCAGGTGGTGGACCAGCCAGGAGGTATAGCATGATGTAACACGTTATGACCAGCCAAAGGACCAGTTTTTTGAGGTTTAAACATGTAAAAATGATTAAAAATGTCCAGATTTTGGAAAACTGCTGGAAGATGTCATCAACAAAATCGATCAAAATCTCAGAAAAAACAGTGATTGCGGGACTATCCCTCCCGTATTGTGGTGACGTATTTGACCTTTGGACTTTTCAAACTCGCCATGTATCTTGATCATGTCGACTGTCAGGGACCTACCTCGACCAATGGATGGTTAAATGCTTTAAAAAATGGTACGTCCAGGATGGTCAAGTCCCCCATTTCGGATGCTTTCCCTTCCCATTAACAAACATTCCCCCGAATTCCATTTTCCTAAGGAAATGGTCTTGGGACTCTACCCTAGCAGTCGCTTTGAACAGCTGCAGCAAATGCGAATCGTGATGGCCGCAGTGAGTCCCCTGGCGCCCAGTTTAATACGACCGAAAATCGAATCGAAATCATCCAGTGATGGGACAAATTACCAGAATGGATGGTAAGGGATGGATTCCCCGAAAAATCCATTCTCAATGGGATATACAATGATATATTTATTAATTAATTAATTTATATTTATTTATTTATTTGTTTATTTATTTATTTATATAATTATAATATATACAATTGTTTGCTATCATTTTGTATAATTTTATATACTATAATATACTATATATATATACATATATACATATACTGTACGATGAAATGGATTTAGATGGGATATACAATGTAGTTAATCGGAGGTTTCTTAGAATGGAGGTACCCCAATAGCTGGATAGAAGAGTTTGGAGATGGGATTTCGAAAGGAACATGTTGGTGATCGATTTATGCCAGAGCAGGTCTATCGCAACATCTGCTTATGGGATTAAAACACAAGTTTTGTTGGATAGCTTTCACTTCCCGTTGGTTGAACAAACACTCAGCAATCCCCACATCCAAGCAAGACACTTGGGATTGCTGAGGCATTTTCATCCTGATTTCCTTGGTCTGAGCCTTAGTTTTCTTGTCGTCAGGGATCACCAGGCGTGAACCAAAAATGATCAAAGGATTTCTGTCCTACTGTGGCACCAGAACTATAGCTATGGCGCTTTCCGCAGTTCCAAGAATTTGGCAGGGATTCTTCAGTGGAAAAGAATCAGTTGTTTCTGGTTGGAACTGGTGTTCCAGGTACAACCTTGGCCGGATTCGGATTGAAGCCTCAGGTGTTCCTGCTGAATCTCTTGGTGGCACAGTTGAACAGTGCATACCAAGCCATCTTCGAAGTTTCTTGGATAAAGCTCCACAGCATGCAGGGGTTGGTAAATGTCCCATTTTGGGAATATTGGACATCACCTTATAGTAGCCATTATAGACCATATACCTAATGGAATCTAATGGTTGGGTGATGTTCAATGGGGACATTTAATGACCCATGGCATGGGCACGTTGATGCTATCTGTGTATGATACATGTGTTTGCCATACATGGGGATATGTAATATGTACCAACCAACTATATAAAGAATCGCGTTTCGAAGGGCATCTGACTTTGGCCATGTCATGATTAACCTGTTCTCGCAGTCTGGTTTCATCAATCAACACCTGGTTTGGTGGTAGCCCCCCTAAGAAAGCATCCTGTTTTTCATAATGAATTGTTGCCCAAATTCTTGCCGCAAATCTTCCACACAACAACTTTCTCTCAGCCCCCATATCATGGACAGTAACCTGTTCATGGTTGTAGGTGTACCCAGCCGCTGTGAAAAATGTTGGTTTTCCCTTCATATTGATGTGAAGCCAGCTAGGTAAAGCACAAGTTTTGTCAGTAAAATCCCATACAATCCACATTTATCCACCATTTATCGACCATTTATGCACCATTTCTCCATCATGTCGCGTTTTTTGCTGTTTGAAGCCGCGCTGTTTCAACAGCCGCCAGCCATGGCGCCATGGCGCCATGGCGCTGTTCGCGTCTGAGGACATGGTGGGCTTCGCTCGCCTCAATCGAGGCTGTGGATGAACAATTTCAGCTACGACCGTTCTAAAATGTAGAGGTTATATGAGTATATTACCTACAAAAAACGATGGAAAATCATGGGATTTATCAGGATTTCATGGAACTTTATAGTCATTCAATGAGATGGGATATCAATGGGATATACCCTCTGGTACACATATAATATTCTAATATAATATAATACGCAATACTATATACAATATGTTATATATAAATTACAATCTACAATATACAATGATTATGCAATCACTGTATACTGTAGGATTATGACTATACTCGGATACTTGGGGATTGCATCAACAAAAATGGGTCTAATTTTACTAATCCCCGGATGATGTTTGTGGGTTTCCCGTTTTGACGATGAACTCTGTGTTCATGATGTGATTCACTCTGCAAGCCACTAGTTGGGACACCGAAAAAGCAATGTTGCTTGAGTATGCTTCATATACCATCATATACCCATCTATTTAGTGTATACCACCCCAGATTAGTAGTCCCTTCGTAGTGTTCCCTCATGATTTTTAAGCGAAAGCCGTTGCGTCTTCGGCTTCAGGCAAGATCACGTTGTACACGTCCCTTAGCATCGAAAATGATGTTACTGTGCTTGATCAGTCCATCAAAATGTTGATTGATTCATGTTGATGAAACCTCGCATTTGCATGTGTCTTTGCTTAATTCATTCCCATGTTGATAACCCCCCATATTTGCTGGTAAATGTCCTATCCCTTTGCGAGATTTTGGACTCATGCTGAGTGCCTCGGTCAACCAACAACCCACCCTGAGGGTTGCATCCATTTCTCATCGGCGATGGCGCAAGTTTGCCGAAGCCTGGCTGATGTGGGAACTTGACACGCTTTACGGTGGACCCTCAAACGTGGCAAATCCCGCTGGGAAATCCCAAATCCATCCAAATCCCCAAACGAAAGTCATGGGAAAATCATAGGAAAATCATAGGAAAATCATAGGAAAATCTGGTAATATATGATAAAATATGAAAATATGGTAACATCACCGAACTAGCCATGGAGGTTTGCTTCGGAAAATCATCCAAATGGGGACCCGTCCAGCAGGCCATGTTTGATGACAGAGAAGGTAACTGTTAGGATTTGTCAGTAGTAAATATAGTTCCAAAGTGTTCCAAACACAGTTAATGGAAGTTATGTTAATGCTGTTAATTGCTATGTTGGGAAATAGAACTTTTGTTTGAAACTGGAATAGCTCCTGTTTTAATGCTTAAGCAGTCAATCCTTGGAATAAATTGTAACGGTCTCACTGAAACCTCAGTGCAACGATGACTAGTAGGAGTGTGTAACTACCCCAAAATAGCTGTATTTCAGCTGAGTGAAGTACTAAAAGTGCTCCAGAATCATCATTCTCTCGTTGAAACTGCAATAAATTGGACATGACTTGGAGGAGTGTATTTAGCAGGTGAATAGTTTTCATCACCTTCCAAACTGGCAGAAGTCTGCCAGAGGGTTTTTGTGGCTTTGGGATCAAAACTGGTGAAGCCAAAAGTCAAAATATGATTCCGTTTGTTGTGTATTTGTATCAGATACCCTCTGGTTATGACTAACATAGCCATGGGAAATGACCCATAGAAATAGATGGTTTACCTATTAAAATGGTGATTTTCCATGGCTAAGTTAAATAACCAGATGGGATATTTACATGGGGAGGAATTACTATTTCCGAATATGAATGTCTACCATTATGTGGTTGTTTGGTCCGAAAGCAAGATGAATAAACACATGGTTGCATGTTAGAGCTAGAGTCTCTTTGGATTCCTGACGCAGTTCCAGCTGATGCCTTTCCGTAGCTGTCCCAAACTGGTCGTGGTTGTTTGCCAGTTCCCCTGCCCAGGATAAATTGAACTTCGAAGAGCGCATGGAGTTCAATGAAGGCCAGGTGATTTTTCCGAATCGACAGGTGGGGTGGTAGGTGCTCTAGGCAGAATTTGCAGCAGTGATGCAGTTCTTATTCTCGGAGGATGTTCCATGTCTCCATGAACAACAAAGTTGCCTGTACTGTTGGGACAAAACGGTGTTACTTTAAATGGCTACATGGCTACATGGCCTGGTTGGTGGTTTGGAACATGACTTTTATTTTTCCATATATTGGGAATGTCATCATCCCAACCCACGAACTCCATGATTTTTCAGAGGGGTTGGTTGAAACCACCAACCAGTGGCTACATGGCTACTGTCAAATGTCACGTTCAGCATCACTTCATCACTTGTTGCAGCAACCCGGGCGACTGGAGTCCACTAGAACCCGAAACGTTGCAAAATTGCCCCATTTAGTTCGATTATTTTCCCATCAAAGCCTCCATTTATATAGTATGATATCCATTTATAAGATTTATAGGGGATTTCCCTTGCCACGTTTGATTACCGGAGGGTACACCCTCCGTTTGTTGTCGCTCTCCCGTCTTCAAATTCCAAATTTGCACTCCTTCGCGACCAGTAGCGCAGGGTCCACTACCTTCAACCCCCAATCAAGAGACAAAATTCCCCTGCAAATACGGGAGCGCCAAGTGTAAGTTCAATTCGGGATATGTTGGTGCCTCGATTTCTAGGAAGATACTATATTGACATTATATATATACACACCACGTCATTGTTATAGCATCCCAAGAAAACTCACAAGTCATGATAGTCATGTCCAGCCTTGCACTGGATCCAACGTGACAACCCGAGGCGACGTTGGTTTGGCGGGAGGTATGCAACTCCTTGAACCGGCCAATCTCAATCCGACGAACGTACGGGGACCTGAGGACTGGTCAATCCGAGGGGACCATCAGATTGGTCAAGTTCAATGGGATGGTCATCACCATTCATATAGGGTCAATATGGGTTAATATGGGTTAATATATCTGGAATCATGGTTAGTAAGGGAAAGCATCCCCTTTTATGGCCTTAATTCAGATTAGTGAAATATGATTCCATTTACCCAGATATATGTCAATATATACCCATGATGTGTGGACATCCCATGATGATTCTCTGCAGGGGTAGCTGATGTATTTGTGGAAATAGCTTTGGAGTTTTGCCAGGTCTCTTGTTCGGATGGGCTCCTGATGAAAGATGCTTCCATGACCGTTTTTCGAAGCACCACAGAATGCTACCCCAATCACGAAGCAGATTTCTGATATTTTCTGATCTCATCATTCTCACCATTTTAAGGGAGATTCCATGTGATTCTCAAGTTCCAGTTCGTCCATTCCTGGTGCCCAACCGGTAACCTGGTGCCCAATCCTTGCTACGCTCAGGTTGATAGCATCAAGAGATACGGAGGCTCCACTGCTGCGACCATGCCCTGGCCGGAGGCAGCCGAGGGCGCCGAGTGAAAGATGTTGTTCGGGGTCCGTCAGATACCCGGCCTGGTAAACGTTACAAAAAACTATGGAAAGATCCACCATTTTTAATGGGATAATAATGGGAAAATCCACTATTTCTATGACCATTTTCAATAGCTATGTTTGTTTACCAGAGGGTATGTTTGTTTCTGTTCCAAGTGATATTCTTGGCATTTTTTCGTATTGATGTCACCTTCCAACTTTGGTGTTTGCTAAGTTTAAGGTGTCCTTGGACTACGATTGCTTCTTCGGATTTATAGATGCTAAGTCATGCTAAGTGCCAAATAGTGCCATTTCGTTGATGGCATGGCACTGAAGATCTACCGATTTCGTGAACAACTGATATGACATTTGCAGATAGGGATGTGCAAATGCCATAGAATCCAGTGGTTATGCGGGAGTGTTTATCATTACTAATCCAATAATACAATCATTGGGAGTCGGGAATATGGATAATTACTGTTTATGGTTATACAATCCAATAATAGTCGATATGCTATGGGTAATTATCATTAACTATCCATAATCCTGATTAGCCATTGGGAGCCAGTTGGAGCTACGAAAAGACGGGAACCCGACGGCAGGAAGGTTAGAAAATTGCTTCATGTTGGTTGAGTTGCCCGCTCAATTTCCATTAACCAACATGAAACAATATAATTCCCTATAAATGTTGGGAATTGTTGGGATATATCCCATGAAATGCCCATTAAATCCGTGATTTTATGCATATCAGCCGGGGCTTCATCTTGATGCGACAGGAGCAAGAATATGACGAGGTCGGAGCTGTTTTTCCACTGGGAAAATGATGATTTTTTGCCGGCGGGATATCGTTGGTCAGGTATGGATCTCAGTTCCGTTTTGTAAAGATATTATCCACTAGCGAATCAAGCTAATCATCAAAAGGATTTATATCGATCTAACATATCATATCATATATATAAATATAAATATATATATAAGTAGCTGTTGTTTGTTTCCCATATTTTGTTCATGTTCTTTTTCAGTGTTTTCCATGTTTCCGCTATGTTTCCCCATGTTTCCCCGTGGCCATGTGGCAACACGACGCGGTTTCAGCCAGGACTGCCGCATCGAAAGGATGGAGAAGATCCTGACCAGGGCAGTGAAGAAGATGGGCAAGACTCACGGCTCTGGGGGGTTCCACATTTCTATTCAATAGCTGCTGAATGGACAATCCCCAAGAATGGATGATTTAAAACAAACGTTATATATATATGGAGTAATTAATATGACACATATATATATATACACATCTAGGATTATTTAGCTAATATATGGTAATATGCACTTTGAGATAGGTATACACACATCTGAACATTATATGCAGTGCCTTTCCCGACGATTTTCCTTCATGCTGGTCAATCCTAATGTTTGTTGCTGGTGTGTCAATGGGCTATACCCACATGGACGTTTAAGGATGATGATGATGAACCAATGAATTCAATGGATTTTTTTTTGGGTATTCCATTTTCAATCAAACCCCTAATATTAATATATATATATATCCATCATAAGTATATATATTTCATTATGTATATATATATATCACATTCCATTAATATGGATTGTTGGTGTTAGAAGTCCAATATTTTCACATGGAGGTGTCCTAAAATGGGGGCTACTTCTATGTTACATGAGGTATACAGCTGGTGGCTGCCCAGTGGCCCAGGAACCAAAACGAAAGCCGACTGGGAACCTCTTCAAAAGGCGGAGTCATGGAGAAACTGTGGGAAGCAATTTACCCTCTGGTAAACTAACAGTTTGCTCTGCTATGGAAAATCACCATTTACAATAGTAAATCAACGAACTCAATGATCATTTTCGATAGCAAACCGTAACAAATTACCAGAGGGTTTAGTTTTTTTGTTACCACCTTGGAAACCTCAAACCCCTCAATGATTGTGGCAATGATTTCCGGACATAAGAGACAATGTTTTTGGATGTAGAATATGTAGAATGATGTAGATATAGAGTGGGTTCCCATTTATTAGGGGCTTGACCGGCTTGAGATAGCGAGCTCCTCCTTGGGATGTTCAGGGCCAGAACACTGGCATTTGATAACAGAGATGGCTTTTTAATTTTAGTTGTTGAAACAGTTCAATTTTGATGCAAAGCTCTGTAGCTTGGGTTTGGTCATGCAATCTTTCAACATTCCGAAAATACCATCAAGATCAAGGCAGAAGTTTCCGGTTCATAGCTGGGACATAAAGGGGCAGAGGACGTCATAGTCGTCATAGTCCTTAGGGTGGATTTTTAAGCTACCAACAATCATCCGAATAGACAGCGTATTTCACTTCTGCTGACTCAACATACCAGGATAGCCTCTGTCGTTGAACATGACACATGTATGAACTTGTGAAACATATTTGTGCCTGTTTGTGCGTTGATCCTTACATCGCCAAAAACCGTATTGCCAGGTCAGGTTGCCAAAAAAAAAGTACAGATGTTTCAGAGTCAAAACCCTGGAACATGACTCGCCTGCTTCCACTTTGGGCTGAAGATGCTCCTTTCTTTGGTTCATGAAATGTATGTTTCATTTTTCCCTCCGGTTGTTTCATCAATTTGCCTCATGTTTGTTTGATGTTGCACGTTTAGCCCACCCACACCCAATGTTTGGTGGCTCCAGTTTCTTTAAAATATTGTCCTCCGTTTTTGTTCTTTTGCTGATAAAAGACGAAACCTTTATTTGATTGTTTCCCCCTGTTTTTCTTAGTAGGGAATGGGGAAATGACCCATCACAACTATTAACAAATTATCAATAGTCCCATCCCCCATTCCTCATTAATGACTGGTTTAACATCCAGATTTAACGATTATCATCTTATATAACCACAATAACTAGACACCTCCAATTGTTGTTTGGTGTTAAACATAACCATACATAACCATATACATTACCATGAAATGCCAATTGAATCACATTCAAAAACCACCATTAGACCACCATATTTTTCCCCTGGCTGCTGAACGCAGGTTCCAGCGCATCATCGGGACTCAGCAGCCGGAGCAGCCAGGATGAAGAGCGAGACTGAGGCAGGCTGAGAATGGAGTCACGGTGTTTTTTTTTTTGAGTCATGACATTAATGATCTTTTGGTGATTCATGGATATGTTGGGTTTTTAAGTTCTGAGTTCCAGGTGTTATGTCCAATGTTGTTTGAACGTTTGTCTATGTTTGTCTTAAGTTTGTTGTTCTTGTGTTTTGAGGCTTCCATGTTGTGTTCCGAGTTTTTGCCTGGACAACATCATGCCCCCCAGAAATCCTTGGACAGCCATGGAAAATGGCCCTTTGTGATGTTTGACAAGTTCAAAAAAAAAAATGCACCAAAAAAAACATGCTGATTTTCCATATGGGTATGGATCAATACCTATTAATACCATTTTTACTGGGATGAACATCCATTTTAACCCAGCTATTTTGATGTGAACTACAGGGGTACAAGGTTTTGACCCATCCCCATATCTTAGATTACCAGAGGCTTTTTTAAAAATCACCATTTGTTACCGTAAAAAAATGACCACATTTCCGCCGACCGCCAGGTTCCCTCTGAGCTACCCAGGATACCTCTGGGGGGCGTTTATTTTCGCATGTTAAAACCACCATTTTCTGGGGATATGGTCGGACTCAGATGCAAAAATTGGATGGAAGATGTCAATAAAAACAACAGATCCCTTCAAAAAAGATCAAAAAAGCACACACACACACAATTTTCATGGAAACGAAAAAACAATATCTATCATACTTCCAGACTTTATTCGCTGCCGTTGCTGGTATGTTTTTTAATCCACAAGCAAAGTGCAGCTCCAATTCAGTTGGCCCATGAAGTGCCACGGATGCCCGGTAGCGCGGTCTGTGTAGGGTCGGTCGGTCGGCTTCGAAGACGGAAGCCCGTGCGTTAAACGGCCGCCGCCGCGTTTCGTTGATGTTCCATTTCGAGGTCTCAAAATTTGGACCATAATTCAATACGAATCAAGCTGGATCCCATGCTTAAAATCGCCGTTTTTGGAGTTTTTTTTGTTTGTATGCCCCATGTGAAAAACAACGAAGATTTAACATATCTGGAGATGACAAAGTGGCAATTCTGAGACCTGGCCCAATGAGTTTAAGGCCAGTTGTAGGTTTCTGTGTCACAAGTTATTCAGAGACTCGCGCCGCTTTGGCCAACTCCACCCTGGTCCGAAGGGCCCCATGTGCGACTGGGGACCGGTGTGTGTCGACTTGCTAAGTGGAAAAGGGTTGGAGCTTTGGGGCAACTGGATCAACTGGAAAGTGGGTAGACCCTTGATTAATGGTACCCTCCGGTAAACTAACATAGCTATTGAAAATGGCCATTTATAGTGAGTTTTCCCATTAAAAAAATGGTGATTTTCCATAGTTATGTAAACGTTTACCAGAGGGTAGATTCATGGAGTTTTTTTGGGGCAGAGTATCTACCGATATCTATTAGTAGCTATGATGAGACAAATCTTTATGGGTATGAATGCACTTTTTTAGGCCGTGTGAGTAACCGACAAAATCAGCAGCAGACAAAAGTAGTAGGGAGTGGACTTGGGATCTTCAAATTTGTGTGAAAACCTTCACAACCAATAGGGGACTTCCCTACCGATATCCTATTTTTACGCATAGCATGGAAGTACAAACCTTTACAAGCGATAGCAGACCACTCACTCTGGCCATGTCCTTCGCAAGTGGCCACCGGAAGCAATTCCTGGAGTCCTCCTGGACGATGGGCCGAGATCCCTAAGCTTGCCATGGTATGTCATGGTCATGACATGATTGTTGTCAATCAATGTCAATCATATTCCATAGCGTCAATATCTAATTTGAACATGTTTGAAACATCATGAGAAAATCATGGAAATCATAAACCCAGCAGAACCCAACATGGTTTTCCACCCTTCATCCCTCGACTCAGCAACTTTTTTTGTCGTCATCGCCATGGCTCCACTTGGGGCGGGCGCACTGCCGCTGTTGGAGGCAGTTGGGAAATGGTTTGTGACGGCGCAAGGAACATGAACCCCCGAAAAAATAGAACCCAAATGGCTATCACTGTACTGTTGGGTATGATCATAGAGAACAAAACGAGGAACTCTATTGAAAAGGAACATCATTTGCCAAACCAGCCGTTTTTTTGGAGGTCTTGAAACTAAAAAGACGACTGCCGAGCTGAATCTCTATGTTTTGGAACGTTGGAAAACATCATCCAAAAAGTCCGACACGAGAAGAGCCAGACTTAGCCAGACTTTGCTGCTTGCCCACAGTATGAGCTTGAACACCAACAATGAGAATATGCTGTACCTAGATTTATGTGGATGTTTGAAACCTGGGAATGGGGATGCATACTATATAACCAGCTATGCTCAGCTATCTAAGCTTGGCCATGATTTATGAATTCCTACAACGCTTAAATAATGGAAACAACACTATTCCTCCAACAAATTATGCGGTTCAACATAAAAATGTGAGCGCCTCGATGACAACGTTGTGTATATTAAAAAGATCCAGATATCATCAAGGGAATCTTGTCAGATGTTCAACAAATCAACTCACAAATGTCCAGAAGACACTTCGTTCCTTCACACGTCAGTTTGTCAAGTGGTGGTTTCCTGAAATATGGATACCCCAAACCATTGGTTTCCCATGGATCACAACCATTAATGAGTAGGATGATAACTTGGGATATCCCCATGACTTAGGAAACCTCCGCTTAAGTGTTCCCGTCAGGAGCAGAAGCTTCCGAAGCTTCCAGAGTGGGGGAAGTCTTTGGCAGATTTTGTCGGTTGGCTGATACTGGATCGTCGATTCAACGGTATAATCATCAACGTATCAACGTTCCATTTGTGTTGCTGAACTATGTTGAAGTCTACAATTTCCATTCTTCAATTGCGTTGTTTTGTTGCTTCATCTCCCACATGGGTATGGTTCGAAAGGTTTACCCCAAACAAATAGATGATGGTATGACTGTCCAATGACAAAAGCTATTTGTCACTCCAAACAGTTACCACATGTACATGTTACATCATTTTACGTGTCATAGAAGAGATGATGCCAAGTGACTCATATTATTATATTCACTAGGAGGGTTGAATTTTGATGATCACCAACCAGCTATCCATCCCCCCATCCCCACCGAGGATGGGACCAGTTTCGGGCCCGAATACCTGAGCTTCAAAGAAGGGGAGGAGTGCCCAGCGTCCGGTGGATTGCAGAAACAATTAAGGTGGAATTTTAAAGCCAAAAGAAAAGCTGATAATTATAGGCAACTTTCTATGGAGATATATGATGAATATAAGATGAATTGGCAAATTTCCATCATGAAACAATTGGGGAATTGTTTATGATGAAATAGAGAATATTTCCAATAGATTGGAAATCCATTGAAGGGATGGTGATTGATCAATAGTTGATCAATAGTTGATGGAAATCAATTGGAATCCAATAGTTCAATGTATTCTGAACCATATCCCATAGGATCCATGTATGGTATATATGGTAACATTTACCATCAATATACCCCAAATGTTAGCATATATACCATACATGGATCCTATGGGTGTGATTGATCTCCATCTGACTCCATCTCCCATTTCGCGCACAGGAGCTGGGAGTTTTTAAAGCCAAAGAAGCGGCGGGTTGGGCCTACGGTGTGCTCAAGTCCGACCAGGAGGAGAGCAGATGGGAACGGTTGTCGCAGATGTCGCAGCAACCAGAAATCCTGGGATTTTACCATAGGAAGTTGTGGAAAACCATAGGAAAACCATAGGAAAATGGTGGTTTTACCATGTTTTACCCTCTGGTTTAAACGTGAACCAAGAAACGAACTGGAAAGATCCACCATGCTATTTTCATGGGAAAATGACCACTATTTCGACTGGGCCATTTTCAATAGCGAACTGTTAAATTACCAGAGGGTAATCTTGTTTGAGAAAACATATTTGGGGGTTAGGATACTTTCTTGTGCTTTAAATATCATGGAATATGTAATGTGAAGGTTACCGTAGACGATCCGGAAAAGAAAAAAAAGCTGAGCATCTAAGATTGGCCATGTTTTGAACACGAATACACGAACGGTGCTAGCCTGGTCTTTCGGACGTTGCAATCCGACCTGCCACACCGCGCAGGGCTGGTTTCCTCCAGACTTCTGGAGTCCGAAAGGTGCCGAAGTCGGTCATGGAAGGGTCAATGTGTACACCGCTGGGGGGTATGGGTTCCTGGAAGCGGGAATGGTGGGAAAGCCTTCAGATGTACAGTACATGCCTATCATCTTTTTTCTCCTATGGTCGAATTATTCCAGGATCAATGGACCCATAAAATCGAGAAAATACTGTGGATGGTTGCGAAAAAACTGCACCAGTTGGTAGATGGTAAACATCCCATTAAAATCCCATTATTTACAATGTCTCCTAGTTGCCAATAGTTACCAGCTGGTGCAGGATTTTGCAACCAGCCACAGTATGTAGTCTATGATATTCAACACTCCATTTTGTGGTGCTTGATAATCTTGAATCTTGAACCGTACACACATGGTATTTGTCGTACCATACCATCTCTGTGTTTTCCCTTACTTCGAGAATTCTACAAGCGGTCGAGCGGAGCGAAGCAACAGTTTTCAATTGATGTCTCACCTCTTTAGGTGAAACATCTGGGTTTCTCAAAATGGAAAAATGACTATATAGATTTTCCAAAAGTGGTGATGTTTAACAGGAAAACCCAGCGGATGTTCCAAAAGTGGTGATGTTTAACAGGAAAAGCCAGTGGTTTAGGGGCACCAACCATGTGTAAGAAGCACCCACGGGGCCATCATCATGCCATGGGAGGAGCCAATCAACTTGCTCCTCCACGAACTTGCGGTTTGCACATTGCAGCAGAAACTTGATAGTTGCCAGATGGAGGTGATTGATGTATATTGATGTGATCATTAGAGATGGGTTTCCCTTTGATCAGAGAACAAGGAGATTCCCTAGACCTTTAAACTTTGAGGATGTAGAGTCCCCACCTCGACGCCCAGCGGCAGTGACAAATGTTCACCGATCCTGTCGTGCTGTCAGTCATATCCCCCAATGGCAATTTTGCTGCTGTATATTAACCATTAATATCATTAATGTGTGTGTGTCATTATATTAACCATTTATAGCATGAACCAATGTCAGTCATATCCCCACTTTTTTTTGGTGTGTGTGTGTTGCCTTAATATCATTAATTGCAGCGCATTCTTTGTTGGTGATTCGCCCATGTTTTGCCATGTTCGAATCTCCACTTGAATGCTTGAAATCTATAGTCTATCGCCGCGTTAAATGGAAAAGTCCCCCCAAAGTTTGGTGGGACATCCTCAGGTGTCAAGCCGGTTACATCCATTAAGTGGAAATCAAGTCCAAACAAGTGGTATATTATGTTCAACTATACCCTAAGAAATGCTTCTTGTGACCAATGTGCTAGGTAATATTATGATATATTTATACATATAGAGACATTCAACTACTTTTTATGGATTAGGTTGGTATTACATTGTTATATGATCAGAGATGTCTTATTTGTATGCACATAGTACTGTTCAATCCACCATTTTGCCTCAGTTTTTGGCCTTGTTTCATGGCCCCGAGGATCGCGAGGAGGCCAAAGGGCCAACCAAAGCAGCCCCCGCTGCGCCAACCCCAGCGCCCACGGCAGAGACGGTGCTGGCAGATGGTGTGGTCAAGGCCGGAACCGTGGCGGGTGGGGGAAGCCGATGGTGGAATGCGGGTAACAGCTGTTGAACATGAGAGTGGAAACATGAGCAAATTAAAGGTTAGACGGTTAGACATGTCTGAAAAGAGAAAAAAATAGACATGAATAGAGCCAGAACAAAACCGAGACAAAATGCGCATTCATGGCGACACCGGGAATTCTGTACCCATTGGACGATTGTTGCTGGTTCCCTATGGTTGGTGACTCCACGGGGACCCTATGGTTTCTATTTAAGTTGTTGGTGAAATCCTCTTAAGGCACTTGGTTGGTGTCAAATATCCCAAAACTCTTCGCGGGCCCTGTTTTTTGGTGTAAAAAGTGACAATACCTCCAAAGTGATTACATACAATCCGTTACAATTCCATATCATCTAATGCGCCATGGTCATCAATCCAGTATATAGAGTAGTTTTTTTTGATACTGAGTATGATAAACTGCATGTTTGGATTGCCATGGGATGGAACATCATGGCTATAGCAGTTGGGTGTATATCCCACTCCATTACTCACAATATAATACTATATTCCATATGCTCCATGGTGCTGGTATATTTACCAACATTTGCCCGAACGGAATCACCCAGTTTTTTGTAGGTAGATATACTCTCCTGAATAGTAACGTACACCTCAAAAATGAGCAAATTTTGTTTGAGGTGTATGTTAAGATTCGGGCAAGTATGTTAAGAATCTGAGGTGTAAGTAGGTGAAAATTTTGCAGGAAAATTGGGTGCTCTGGAAGGGGTCATGTTAAGGAAAAAACAACTTATCTTCGCAGCCGTTTGGTGGTCAAACACGCGACCTTGGCAGCCATGTTGGCAGTGCCTGAACGCCGCGTGAGTGGCAAGTCACCTCCTGACAGAAATACCGATTCTTGCACGCACTGGGTACGTAATAACATATCCAGCATGACTGGCCAGCCAACTGACCTCCAAGGAAAATCACCATTATCCCATTCAATGTTTAGGCAATGATACCTTCCAGTACTTTAACATAGACCCTGCCGTAGGGCTTCCTCGATTTTCTTATATATACTTTTTTAAAACAAAATATCACAGTGCTTGAACTTGTATATACTTTTCTGATAAACAAATAACACCGTGCTGCAGGGTAGGAGCCCAAAAAGCTACAAAGATTCCAAAATGCAGAAGGGTCAATGTTTTTTGCCCTCTCATGGGGTCCCCCCTTCTTGGAGCCAAAAAATGTTACAAATCAACAATTCTATAAGGAAACTGTTGTACAAAAAAACAGATGTTGTGTTTTGTTCCCCACCTGCCAGGTGAGGGTTGTTAGATTTTATGTCAGTTGCCTCCTCCTGCCTCCTGCCTCCTGCCTCGTCCTCCTCCTCCTCCTCTCCTCCTCGTCCTCCTCGTCCTCCTTGTCATCCTTGTCGTCCTTGTCGTCCTCGTCGTCCTCGTCGTCCTCGTCCAACTGCGACCCGCGATCCACAGTGTTCTCTGTCGGACCTCAACCACGACCATCCACGCCCAGTGTGCCCTGCCGGACCTCAACCACGACCATCCACGCTCAGTGTTCCCTGCCGGACCTCAACCACGACCATCCCCGCCCAGTGTTCCGTGCCGGACCTCAACCACGACCATCCACGCCCAGTGTTCCCTGCCGGACCTCAACCACGACCATCCACGCCCAGTGTTCCCTGCCGGACCTCAACCACGACCATCCGCGCCCAGTGTTCCCTGCCGGACCCTCATGTATGGAAGATATGGGCAAAGATGTGCAGAAGAAATGTTAGAGAGGCAGAAAGAATGTCAGAAGAGATGCCAGAAGATAATGCCAGATAGAATGCCATAAGAATGCCAAGATTATTCAGATATATTAGAAGATATGTCAGATAGAAGCCATATTGAATCCAGAAGATATGTCAAATATAGCCAGAAGATTGCCCAGATAGAATGCCAGATTAGAATGCCAGAAGATTTGCCAGATAAATGCAAAAAATATGCCAGATAGAATCCCAGAAGATTTGCCAGATAATATACCAGAAGATATGCCAGATAGAATGCAAGAAGATTTGCCAGATAGAATGCTAGAAAATATGCCAGAATATATGCCAGATAGATATGCCAGAAGATATGCCAGAAGATATGCCAGATAGAATGGCAGATAGAATGCCAGATAGAATGCCAGAAGATATGTCAGAATATATGCCAGAAGATATGCCAGATAGAATGCCAGAAGATTTGCCAGATAGAATGCCAGAAGATATGCCAGATAGAATGCCAGAAGATATGCCAGATCAAATGCCAAATAGAATGTCAGAAGATATGTCAGATAGAATGCCAGAAGATTTGCCAGTAAGAAAATGTATAAATGTCATGGTGGGGATCACACGAAGTAAAGTATTTTTTTTTTGCTCTCCCCATTTTCTTATATACATATTTTATTAAAAACAAAATATCACAGTGCTTGAACGGGGTCTATGTTAAGGGGAGCTCAGAGGTATGACAATGATCCCGATTGTCTTGTATACACTTTTCTGAAAAACAAATCACATGGTGCTGCTGCGGGGTCTATGTTAAGGGGAATAGGAGCCCAAAAAAGCTACACAGAATCCAAAATGCAGAAGGGTCAATGATTTCTGCCCTCTCGTGGGGTCCCCCCTTCTTGGAGCCAAAAAATATTACAAATCAACAATCCTATAAGGAAACTTTTGTACAAAAAAAGGAAGTTGTATTTTGTTTTTTTCCAGGATACCCCGATTTTCTTGCATCTACTTTTCTAAAAACAAAATATCACAATGCATGAACGGGGTCTATGTTAAGGGGAGTTCAGAGGTATGACAATGATCCCGAATTCCTTGTATATACTGTTCTGAAAAACAATAACATGGTGCTGCTACAGGGTCTATGTTAAGGGGAATAGGAGCCCAAAAAAGCTACACAGAATCCAAAATGCAGAAGGGTCAATGATTTCTGCCCTCTCGTGGGGTCCCCCCTTCTTGGAGCCAAAAAATGTTACAAATCAACAATTCTATAAGGAAACTTTTGTACAAAAAAAGGAAGTTGTATTTTGTTTTTTTTCCTGTGGTGCAAAAACAGGAAAATTGGATAACACCTTACCCCTGGGTCTAGGGTGTATGTTAATGACGCTTTTGGAGTCGCGAAGCATGGTAAACATTGCAAAAAATTATTAACATAAACCCTCCGGAACGTGTCAAAAAAATCATTGAATCCTTTGCAATTGACCCAATTCCTCTTAACATACACCGACTTAGAGGGTTATGTAAACCAGCCCCGAAAACTCTCCGACGACGATCAATAAATTCAGCAGCGCATTTTTTTTCTATAGCCTCCCCAAAGGCGATCTCGGTTTTTCTGTTCTGTGCTCTTGTAAACTCATTTCAACGCTAGGTCCAAAAATGCCAGATGGCCAGCACACTGGTTTCTACGCAAAACATTGGGCTTCTCTATACTGTTTCTTTTTGAACATTACCGGTACTGTAGATTAAAAAGTACCAGTTGGCCAACACCCTGGCTTCTCCGCAAAGCATGGGTCTTCCCGTTGAGTAGGAGTGCCAGCAGCATGAGACATGAACATTGATGTTGGCATGTTAGGTGTTTAACATACACCTGGGCACCATATCCTGCTCTACTCTGCCTCCCCAGAGGCATGCATAATGCTTGGTGAGAAAGTGCCAGATGGCCAACACACTGGTTTCTACGCAAAACATTGGGCTTGTCTATGCACTTTGATATTTTGTTTTTAAACAAGTAGATATAAGAAAATCGTGGCAGCCCCAAAAAAAAAACAAAACACAACATCCGTTTTTTTGTACAAAAGTTTCCTTATAGAATTGTTGATTTGTAACACATTTTGGCTCCAAGAAGGGTGGACCCCACGAGAGGGCAGAAATCATTGACACTTCTGCATTTTGGATTCTGTGTAGCTTTTTTGGGCTCCTATTCCCCTTAACATAGACCCTGTAGCAGCACCATGTTATTTGTTTTTCAGAACAGTATATACAAGGAATTCGGGATCATTGTCATACCTCTGAACTCCCCTTAACATAGACCCCGTTCCAGCATTGTGATATTTTGTTTTTAAAAAAGTAGATACAAGAAAATCGGGGTATCCTGGAAAAAAAACAAAATACAACTTCCTTTTTTTGTACAAAAGTTTCCTTATAGAATTGTTGATTTGTAATATTTTTTGGCTCCAAGAAGGGGGGACCCCACGAGAGGGCAGAAATCATTGACCCTTCTGCATTTTGGATTCTGTGTAGCTTTTTTGGGCTCCTATTCCCCTTAACATAGACCCTGTAGCAGCACCATGTTATTCCCCACCTGCCAGGTGAGGGTTGTTAGATTTTATGTCAGTTGCCTCCTCCTCCTTCTCCTCCTCCTCTCCTCCTCCTCCTCGTCCTCCTCTCCTCCTCCTCCTCGTCCTCCTCGTCGTCCTCGTCGTCCTTGCTCAACTGCGACCCGCGATCCACAGTGTTCTCTGCCGGACCTCAACCACGACCATCCTCGCCCAGTGTTCCCTGCCGGACCTCAACCACGACCATCCACGCCCAGTGTTCCCTGCCGGACCTCAACCACGACCATCCGCGCCCAGTGTTCCCTGCCGGACCTCAACCGCGAGTATCCACGCCAAGTGTTCCCTGCCGGACCTCATGTAGGAAGATTTGCCAGATAGAATGCCAGAAAATCTGCCAGAAGATATGCCAGATAGATATGCCAGAAGATATGCCAGATAGAATGCCAAATAGAATGCCAGATAGAATGCCAGATAGAATGCCAGAAGATATGTCAGAATATATGCCAGAAGATATGCCAGATAGAATGCCAGATAATATGCCAGAAGATATGCCAGATAGATATGTCAGAAGATATGCCAGAAGATATGCCAGAAGATATGCCAGAAGATATGTCAGAATATATGCCAGAAGATATGTCAGATAGAATGTCAGAAGATATGTCAGAATATATGCCAGAAGATATGCCAGATAGAATGCCAGAATGAATGCCAGAAGATATGTCAGATAGAATGCCAGAAGATATGCCAGATAGAATGCCAGAAGATTTGCCAGATAGAATGGCAGAAGATATGCCAGAAGATATGCCAGATCATATGCCAGAAGATATGCCAGATAGAATGCCAAATAGAATGTCAGAAGATATGTCAGATAGAATGCCAGAAGATTTGCCAGTAAGAAAATGTATAAATGTCATGGTGGGGATCACACGAAGTAAAGTAATTTGTTTTTCAGAAAAGTGTATACAAGACAATCGGGATCATTGTCATACCTCTGAACTCCCCTTAACATAGACCCCGTTCAAGCATTGTGATATTTTGTTTTTAATAAAATATATATAAGAAAATTGGGAGAGCCCCAAAAAAAAACAAAACACAACATCTGTTTTTTTGTACAAAAGTTTCCTTATAGAATTGTTGGTTTGTAACATTTTTTGGCTCCAAGAAGGGGGGACCCCATGAGAGGGCAAAAAACATTGACCCTTCTGCATTTTGGAATCTTTGTAGCTTTTTGGGCTCCTATTTCCCCTTAACATAGACCCTGCAGCACCGTGTTATTTGTTTTTCAGAAAAGTATATACAAGTTCAAGCACTGTGATATTTTGTTTTTAAAAAAGTATATATAAGAGAATCGAGGAAGCCCTACGGCAGGGTCTATGTTAAAGTACTGGAAGGTATCATTGCCTAAACATTGAATGGGATAATGGTGATTTTCCTTGGAGGTCAGTTGGCTGGCCAGTCATGCTGGATATGTTTTTTTGTACCCAGTGCGTGCAAGAATCGGTATTTCTGTCAGGAGGTGACTTGCCACTCACGCGGCGTTCAGGCACTGCCAACATGGCTGCCAAGGTCGCGTGTTTGACCACCAAACGGCTTCGAAGATAGGTTTTTTTTTACCTTAACATGACCCCTCCCAGAGCTCCGCGCTGCATGTTAACAATCCTTGATGATAGTAGTTCGAAGTGCGTGTTCCTTGCGTTTTTACCTTAACATGCCCCTCCCAGAGCACCTCGCAGAATGTTAACAATGCTTGATGATAGGAGTTCGAAGTGCGTTTTCCTTGCTTTTTTACCTTAACATGACCCCTCCCAGGGCACCTCGCAGAATGTTAACAATCCTTGATGATAGTAGCTCGAGTGCATTTTCCTTGTTTTTTTTCTTTAACGTACACCTCATTTTTTTTTACATATTTGCCGGAATCTTAACATACACCTCAATTTTTTTTGCTCAAAAATGAGGTGTTCGTTAATATTTAAGAGAGTAGTTCGAAGTGCGTGTTCCTTGCGTTTTTACCTTAACATGCCCCTCCCAGAGCACCTCGCAGAATGTTAACAATGCTTGATGATAGGAGTTCGAAGTGCGTTTTCCTTGCTTTTTTACCTTAACATGACCCCTCCCAGGGCACCTCGCAGAATGTTAACAATCCTTGATGATAGTAGCTCGAGTGCACTTTCCTTGTTTTTTTTCTTTAACGTACACCTCATTTTTTTACATATTTGCCGGAATCTTAACATACACCTCAGTTTTTTTTTGCTCAAAAATGAGGTGTATGTTAAAACACTAACATGCCAACATCAATGTTCATGTCTCATTGCTGCTGGTGTTCCTACTCAACGGGAAGACCCATGCTTTGCGGAGAAGCCAGGGTGTTAGCCAACTGGTACTTTTTAATCTACAGTACCCCCTCTGGTAAATTAGCATAGACATTGAAAATAGCGTAGTTTCAATGAAAACTAATCTTCCAACCCCTATCTGCCAGGGTCTATGTTAATTTACCAGAGGGTAATGTTCAAAAAGAAACAGTATAGAGAAGTCCAACGTTTTGCGTAGAAACCAGTGTGTTGGCTATCTGGCATTTTTGGACCTAGCGTTGAAATGAGTTTACAAGAGCACAGAACAGAAAAACCGAGATCGCCTTTGGGGAGGCTATCGAAAAAAATGCGCTGCTGAATTTATTGATCGTCGTCGGAGAGTTTTCGGGGCTGGTTGGGCCTTCTGTATCTTCTGTATCTAGGTGTATGTTAAGAGCTGTTTGGATAATTGCAACTGATTCATGGATTTTGTTGTCACGGTCCACAGGGTTTATGTTAATGAATTTTTGCAATGTTTCCATGCTTCGCGACTCCAAAATCATCATTAACATACACCCTAGACCCAGGGGTAAGGTGTTCGTCAATTTTACAGATTTTGGACCACAGGGTGTATGTTAATATTCAAGAGTGTAATCTCACTGTTCGCATTAATGGGATATATACCTAGGATAATCCAAGAACTCCCATGAGGTCCCAACAAAAAGTGCCATGGAGATCGTCCCTCACGCCAGATCTTCTTCCCTGAGCGGCGCTATGGTTTTATCGACTGCAATGGCTTGGCACCTTGGCCATTTTGGCCGTGGATTACAGTAAGGATCATAGGGATTTGTTGATGATCATCCATGATAATCCTATTGCGATGTTCTATTTGTTGCGATGGTTTTATTTTTTTTGTTGTTATCTGTTGTCTTTTAAACGGATAAACGGTTTGTTTGGACATGCGATGGTTTTCTGTTTGTTTCAATGCAGATGATCGTAGAAACTGAACAAAAATGGGGATTCAATCAACCTAAATGATGGTGGAAACCACAAAAAGCGGGGTTGGTTTACATGACACTTATGACACTTATGCAGATTCGGATCTGAACCATCGATTTCGGTAGATTGTGCATTGATCAATTTGTGAGGCGCCAAGGAGCACAGCTGGACCGATCAATGTAGGAACCATCCCATGTTGAATTCCTTGCG